AATTACTTGTTCAATATCTGTAACTTATTCTGCATTGTCTGTATTGCTCATTAGATGTCCTAATGTCTAGAACCGAGGTTGGCATATGGCAGGTGCATGATAAATATTTGTAGAATGAATTTATTAACATGTAAGTGACTGGAGGGGCTCAACAAATGTTAGTTCTCATTTCCTTTCCCATCTCACATTTACAGAAGCATGGTTATCCCGGGGTTGTAGAGATAGAAGAGACTATTTCCATAGGAGGAAGATGAGTTCATGGCGTGATGGACATTGCCATATATTTAAAATTACTTAAGGTCATTCTATGGACATTCTTCTAGGCAGTTAAAAAAAAAATAGATCTGGATATCAGTAAAGAAGTCATAGTGAAGGATCTAGATTTTTGAAACATAAAAATTTATTTTTGCATCCATTTTAAAATTTGTGGTCTGCTCTAATGTATCATAAAATGGAGGGAAAGAGGATGAGGGGGCTTCTAGGATCAAATGCCAGGATATAAAACATATGCTGAATGCATTTGGTATAAATTACAATTATCTAAACTCTGGTCTGACTAGAAATGGTCAGTCTTGAAAGACAGTGAGAATCATAACATAAATAGAATTATATTTTCTTCTCGCTCCGCACCCCCTTTCTTTTTGACAATAAATCCTGAGCCCAGATCTAAGGTCTTTTCCTTAAAAAGCAGAAACATGCTCATTCATGGTTAGTAGTATTCCGAAGTCATGGTACAAGGAAGGTTATAGGAGTTTTGAAATCTGGCCAAGTTAATTAGAGTCTTACAGGTTTGGTTGACACACAAAGGAAGTCAATTTCAAACAAAGGTCAGGGTGAGCTCGAAAGTCAAATCCCACTTCAGCTTGAACTCAAACAAGAATGCCTTAAATAGTGAAGGTCCAGGGAGAATCAAATTGCATACTTGTATCAGGTTCTTCTAATTCTTTAGAGCATGTAAAACAATATGACCCTTTCAAATAATATCACCTTTATGTGTTTTCAGCAAATGAGCCAATATTTATGAGCAGAAAACTGAACAAAGTGTGTGACCACTTTCCTCTCGGGCACCACAGTGCACTGTAGGGCATCTCCCTGAAGTGCAGACCATGGTCTAGGAAGCGCTGGGCACGTTAATTTTGCAAACTCAGGTTTGTACTAGGGTGATGAACTCATGTTAAAACCTCACCTACAGTTGAAGAACTCTTCGTCACTCACTTCTTTTATTGCTGCCAGCTCCTTTTCATACTTTTTTCCTTAGATAAGAACACCGAGGCAATTTCTTTACAAGCTTTTCTTTTCAACAGTGGAATGCAAGCAAATTAATTTCTAATTATTTTTGTGCAAAGCGCAGTAAATAGATTTTATTTTACCGGTATAAAATTTAAAAACCTTGTGCCATTGGGAAGCTGGAGAGGAAGACTATTAGCAAAATTATTAGCAAATTAAATTGAAGCAGAGATGATAATAATACTAGTGGCACAATAAAAGTCTGAGAAACCAACTATTGGTAGTAAAGAAAAAGAAGCTGCTACAGATTTAGGGTGGCAGGTACAAAAAATAATAAACAATGTATGCAGGGTAGCCTTCTATAATTCTTCACAATTTTTCAGTTTTTGGGCTTTGGGAAATATACACTGAGTGGCCAGATTATTATATGATCTCTGAACGCATCATAATCTGGCCACTCAGTATATATCCTATATAATAAAAGGCTAATATGCAAATTTTCCTCTTGACCGGGAGTTTGATAAGCAGGCAGTCTGGCCAACCACCCATGTCCCCTCCCCCTGGCCAGACCCCACCCATGCACAAATTCATGCACTCGGCCTCTTAATATGTGTCGTGCGCGCGTGCGCACACATACACACACACACACACACACACACACACACACACACACACTCTGAGTGTTCAGATCTCTGTGTTCAGAGATCATAATAATCTGGCCACTCACTGTATATGTAGATGTGAGTAAACATTAGGAAAAGGATAATCCTCCAGATCTATTGCTCTAAGACACACTTTCATAAATATGTTTGGGTGAATTAGCATAAATAAGTGAAGTTCTTGCACATTTTAACTTTGTAGATATAAAATTCCACTCCTTTTATTACCCTGTTATTTCATTGAGCTACTAATTACGTCAACTAGACAGATAATTGCTTATAGCAAGAGCTAGGAATCGGAGCATGGAAAGGGCCACTTATACGAAATGGCATTGCCACTTCTGAGGATATCAGAAATAAGTGCAAGGAGGATGAACAAAATTTTGTCCCAAGAATATAATTGCTCATTAGATAGGAAGTGGTCTAGCTATGTATATGTAGTTGTGCATATTCAGTTATGTAAATACTTACTTGAAATCTTCCTAAATCACTTTATGATATAATTTTTGAAAAATCTCTGCTTGGGAAGTTTTATAAAATCTATTTGTTTGTGCTTCAAGCGAAGATATATGGTAATGACATATTAGACTCAGTCCAGTGACTATATTTTTACCGAGTTTTTTAAATTTTATTAGAGCACTAAAGGCCCAGTGCATGGATTTGTGCACTGGTGGGGTCCCTCAGCCTGGCCTGTGCCCTCTCACAATCTGGGACCCCTCGGGGGATGTCAGACTGCTGTTTCAGCATGATCCCTGCAGGCAAGGCCTAGGGACCCCACTGGTTCATGGATTCGTGTGCCGGGCCTCTAGTATGCATATAAGATCTTTGGTTAATCTCTTTTTACCCTCTTCCCTCCCCTCTTCCCTCTGAGATTTATCAGTCTGTTCCACGTTTCCATGCCTGTGTGTTGAGCATCTGCACCCTGGTGGTCAGTGCGTGTCATAGCTACCGGTCAAATGGTCACTTATGCATATATATATATATATATATATATATATGCAAATTTCTGAATTACAAATGTATAGTTATTTATCTACATGCATTATTTTTGATATCTGTTTTTATTTTAAAAAATATGTTTTTATTAATTTCAGAAAGGAGAGGAAGAAAGGGATAGAAACATCCATGAGAGAGAATCATTGATCGACTGCCTCCTTCATGCCCCCTACTGGCGATCGAGCCCGCAACCCAGGAATATGCCCTGACCTGGAATCAAACTGTGACCTCCTGGTTCATAGGTCAAAGTTCAATCACTGAGCCACACTGGTCCTTGTGTTAGATATCTATTTTTAAATTACAGAAAAGCACATGCTCTTATCTACTATTATATGGGTGAGGATAATTTGTAAATCTTCAGAAATAGTCTCATTTCAAGAACATCTTTCCTTAAAAAATGTGTAACATTTCTGTACAAAATAAAGTTATACAGTAGAATTAGATAACTTTCCATTTTCTTTTAACGGGAATATAAATGTTTTGCTAATAAGAAAGCTATTATTCTTTAAAATAGCAACCAGCTCCAATATTACCCATTATTTATTTTCTTGAAATATTTATTCTGCAGAAATTATGTGTGAAAAATTATCTGCAGAATAGGGGAAGTGCTATGCATAGCGATGAGAAATTTCTCACCTCTCCTATGGGTGAGAACATGTTGCCGCTATTACTCTGTGGAATAGCACCTGTCCCCAGCTGAGGTGCTTAGTTCCAAAATCTAAAAAGTGATAAAGGTTCTACTGTCCTTGGGACTGGGGTGCTTTAAAACATGTCATCTGTAGGTTTGACTGAAATTAAAATTTATTTTGATTTGAAAATATAATGTAATCAATAAAAGCTTCTGCCTTTTATTAACATAACATAAAACACTTTTTTAAACAAAATATTTTTGTTGGCTTCCTATTGTGATCTTTTTAAAAAAAATTTTATTTTTCTGTGTCAAAATAGAAGAAACACATACCATACATTTCATTTTGAATGAAGCTTTCTCTGGAGCATTATTTAAAAAAAAAACAAATCCTTTACACAAATTAAAATGTTTTCTAAAATAATTGTGTTTTATTTTCTATCCTTCTATTGACTTTCATGACTAACAATCTACCATGTTATGATGCACGTATGATATATTTTTCAGCTAAGTAATCAGTAAACAATATAGTAGTACATTTCCAAGATGTTAAATGATTTTTCCTATATATGAAACATTTTGAGATAATTAAAACTTCTATGACATACACCTATATTCCACATAAAATGTGTCCTGGTCACTACTCACCAAATATTTAAAAAACATGAAGCTTCTCATTTCAAAATATGCATGCAGTAATTTCCTCCACTGAACGTAAAGATGCCAGTGAGTTAAACAGCAGGTATTCTGCCTATGAAGGGGCTGGGCCTCTCTTCTTTTTTATTTTTTTATTTTATTGATTTTTTTAAAAGAGAGGAATGGAGAGCTAGAAACATAGATGAGAGAGACACATCGATCAGCCGCCTCCTGCACACCCCTCACTGGGGATGTGCCTGCAACCAAGGTACATGCCCTTGACCAGAATAGAACCTGGGACCCTTCAGTCTGCAGGCTGACGCTCTATCCGCTGAGCCAAACCGGCCTCATCGAGGGCCTCGATTCTTAAAAACCTCACAAAGCGCACTAGCTTGTAATAATACCTGCTTCTCTCATGGAGTAGCTTTTAGGTCCATTTGGAGGAGTGCTGTGTAACCTGTAAGGCGTGTATGAATGCAGGGGTATTCCGAGGGGTAAACCACTTACCTGAGCATAAGAAGAAAGTTGCCTCTTTCTAGGCATTGATTCTACTTTCAGAAGCACGGAGCATCCTCTTTCAGGATTCATGGTCTCCTCAGGCATGGCGGTGAATGTGTTTCCTCAGGGTCCAGGTAATTTGTTAGAGAGGAGGAACTTTTGAGTCTACTGTTATTGAAAAAAAAAGTCTATGCGGAGAGAATGAAGATGAATATAATTCCAGACAAAGAGATCAGACACATAGAATCTCTTAAGAGCCTTATTGCTAGCAAATTGAATTTAATCAACCAAAAAAGTGTGAATAAATAAAGCTAATGTTGAAATTTTGTTTACAGAGAAAATGTTATATTTTTCAGAACGCTGCAAATGTAAGCCTATTAGAGCTACACAGAAGACCTATTTCCGAAACAATTACAACTATGGTAAGGATAACTTCGTGGTTGATCTATAAACTGCTGTGTAAAGAAGTGTGTGTGTGTGTGTGTGTGTGTGTGTGTGTGTGTGTAACTTAGTAGAGCAGTTCAAGAATAAGACTTAAAGGCAAATAAATAAGGACAATTTTTGAGAGCATACCTGTCCCAAATAATTAAAATGTCTGATGTGGGCAAAATTCTTAACAAATCATTGATTTTGAAGATATCAGGTAGCAATGCTGTGTCATAGAATCATGTAACCAAGTACAGAGATACCTTTCAAACTAGGTGGGAGGGACTCTCCCCCTCCAGAGCCGGAGGAGGAACTGAGCATTAAAGGTGCTTTAAGTTCAGTTGAGTTTGCATTTATTTTACTTTATTTAATCAATTTTTACTTTATCCAGCTTTCATAATGCTGCTATTATTTTTGTTGAAAATCAAAATGCTAGTGGTTGCAAGTCATGAAAGGAGAATATTTTCAATAAGGAAGCTGAAGGAATGCTATCACATAAAATGGGGTACAGATCACAATCAATGGAGAGAAGATACTTTCTCATAACCAAACAATAATAACCAGGTTGTCTATGGTTTAAGGATTTTCACTTGTCTGAGTCTTACTTAGAGATTCTTTGGGGAAGGCAGGCACTCCAATGACTAAATAGCAGGGGGAAAAAACCCTCTGAAAAAAAATTAAAATCCCCAAGTATATTGATTTTCATAAATACCCATGTGTCTATTGAGAATGGGAGCAGTTGATAACTCAGACAAAACATTTGCTTCATTCAGAATTAGTTCAGGCAAAATTTCTTGAGCTTTCACAAAATTACTGAATAATAAAGTAAGTCTTGCAGAGAGATATTTATTTTGGAGGGGGTATGTGTGCTAAAAATTTCTAACGAAAATAGTAGCCACATGGGTAAATAAATCATTAGTTTGAGAACGTTTGCACAGTTCGCTAATCTCTGAGAGTTGATGGATGCTGTGAAGAACATTCACATAAACCAGGACCCCAAAAAATGTCTGCTGGCTGGGTTGTGACTTTATCTTCTGACTCTCCAAAATGACATTTCCCAAAGGGAAATCTTATCTTTTGTTAAAATACAGAATAGAACACTGACAGAGAGGGATTCCTTTGCTCACAAGTCACACCATGCAGGGGCAGTTGTGTTTTGTTTTCTGTAAGTTCTCATATTTGAGACACAATTTTCTGAAAGTTAAAATACCTGTGAAGCAAAAATGAGGTTCTTCTCCTAATTTTTTTAGAATTAGTAACTTAACTTCTATTGTGTGCATGTTGTACTGGTGGAATATTAGGTAAGTTTCTGTATGGAGTTGGGGCATGGATGCAGCTATTAATTGGCTAATTTTCATGGGTTACTTTTTTCATTTTTTTGAGTCCAAAACTTCTAAAATATTGTGACTCAGATGAAAGTGATCTGCTATATGTGCCTAAGGGGCTTTTAAAAAATGGATTCATTTGGACACATCTATTTCTCCATATAACATCCAAGGATATTGAACCAGAGCAATGAGGGTGCCTGGGAGAGAGCCATTGGCTTCTTGCAAATTGACATTTGTTATTTCGCAGGCTTTTTCAAACTCCCTTTAAGGAAAAAAAAAAAAAAAAAAAAAAAAAAAAGCTCATTTGCCACAAGTAGGAATCTAAAGAATTTGGCTCCTCCAAAGAAGAGAAATACAGAAAAGAAGCAAATCTGTACTTGCTAGAATATGAGTCAAACACTTCAACTTTGCAACTGAATTGATTATTTTTTAAGGCAGTTTGTCTTTATACTGAGAAGTGAAGCCAATACTTGTGAGGTAAACTGGGTGTCAGTATATCCATCGAGAGAGGTAGATTAATACGATTGACATGTTAGATGGTATTTCATAGCCCATGAAGGGAAGGAATGTTGGAGTGACTGACTTCAAAGAGGATGGAGGAAGCAAGATCTAGTGGTGACTGTTTTTACAAAAAAAAAAAAAAAAAAAAAAAAAAAAGTCAAATGCTTCCAGGAGCATATAAAAGAAAAGCTGTACTGAAACAAAGGGAAAAGGAGCTGGTGTATAATGTAAACAGGGAGCTAACGTGAGGAAGGTGAAAAGATCACAGAAATAGTTTGGAAACACAGTAGAACAGGACATCTTTATAACACTAATGAGACCCCAATTCTTTGGAAAATCCATTAATCTGATAAAAGAATACTGACAAGAAAACAAAGCTTATTTAAGTACTGGGTCTTTACATAGAGTGAAATTAATAAAGTTTCTGTTGGCAGCAATGGAAACTGCAGACCCGCACAGGCACACATCCAAATGAAATTTTTGAGAAAAATTACATCAGATTGACCTGACCTTGGATTATCTAAATGAATTTTCCTCAATGAAATACATACCCACTAATTGGAAGGGGATCAGGGCTGAACGTTAAGGGGACAGGTGTGCTGTGTAGTGTGCCACTCACTAACATTTAGGACAGAAATCTGGCTGGCTTTTCCTCTCCATTCATTGAGCATCAAGTAGAGAAGAACTGACTAGATAGGAGTCTCCTTTTTTTTTTTTAATGTGGCACCTGTTGTGGATCACGTGACCGTATCAGCTTCATTGTCTTTTACCCAGTCATTCGGGCCAAAGTTAAAGAGGTCAAGACCAAGTGCCACGATGTGACTGCGGTGGTCGAGGTGAAGGAGATCCTGAAGTCTTCTCTGGTGAACATTCCAAGGGACACGGTCACCCTGTACACCAGCTCTGGCTGCCTGTGTCCCCCACTGAACGTTAACGAGGAGTATATCATCATGGGCTATGAAGATGAGGAGCGCTCCAGGTAATTCGCTCCTTAAAGGTGCAGAACAATTCCTCTGCCTCTCCTATCCTATGGTGCTTCTCTAGAGATCTTAACGCTGGGGTTCTGACCCTGGGATCTGTCTGCCTACTAGTGCAGTGGTCGGCAAACTCATTAGTTAACAGAGCCACATGTCAACAGTACAACGATTGAAATTTCTTTTGAGCTGAAACCGGTTTGGCTCAATGGATAGAGCGTCGGCTTGGGGACTGAAAGGCCCCGGGTTCGATTCCGGTCAAGGGCATGTACCTTGGTTGCGGGCATATCCCCAGTAGGGGGTGTGCAAGAGGCAGCTGACTCTCATTGATGACTCTCATCGATGTTTCTAACTATTTCTCTCCCTTCCTCTCTGTACAAAATCAATAAAATATTAAAAAAAAAAAGAAATTTCTATTGAGAGCCAAATTTTTTAAACTTAAACTTCTTCTAACGCCACTTCTTCAGAATAGACTCAACCAGGCCGTGGTATTTTGGGAAGAACCACACTCAAGGGGCCAAAAAGCTCCATGTGGCTTGCGAGCCGTGGTTTGCTGACCACTGTACTAGGGGATTACAAATAGTTTTTAGTTGGGTTCTCCATTGCAAGTACTGGGTAGAGTATATGTGTATAATTTGTGGGTGTGCATTTTTCTGGGGAGAGGGGTCATAACTTCATTTGTTCTTAAAGATGTTCATGGCTCCCAAATGGTTAAGAATTACTGTTGTAAGACTGTAGAATCTTAGAGGGGAGGAGGGGGCAAGTGGGTTGGTAGGAAGAGATGAACCAAAGAACTTGTATGCACATATGCATAACCCAAGGACACAGACAATATTGTGGTAAAGACCTGGGGCGGAGGGGCAGGTGAGGGCTGGAAAGGGATAAAAAGGGGACGTCTGTAGTACTTTGAACAATAAAGATGAAAAAGAAATTACTATTCTAAAAAAGTTACTGTTCTAAAACATGGTCATTCTATTCTAGAATAAACAGGTTAAGTCTTTGCAATGGTTCCTTGTAGTTTTTGGTAATGTGTTTTAATTTTCAAACATGCTTGCTTTAAAAAATGCAGATTACTGTTGGTGGAGGGTTCTATTGCTGAAAAATGGAAGGATCGACTGGGTAAAAAAGTTAAGGTGAGCCTCTGTTTTACGTTTAAAGTGATACACAGAAAACCAGCTGTTTGTTGCAAATGAAGTGAGTGCCCTCAATTACGTGAGAAATATTAAAATCTGGTATATCTGTATGTATATTTAAAATTCCAAGGACTGAGTTTGCCTTTAATATTGATTTCATGTAGGAAGGTCTCTGTATGCATATGAGAAATGTAACTATAGTTGCCTAGCTTCTCACAATGTGAATTCTAGTTGTAGTTGGTCCAGTCCTGGCAGGGTGACTCCACATTATCTTTAAAGCCCCAGGCTCCTTCCAGCTTCCTGCTCTGCCATTTTAAAAAAATATATATATTTTATTGATTTTTTACAGAGAGGAAGGGAGAGAGATAGAGAGCTAGAAACGTCAATGAGAGAGAAACATCGACCAGCTGCCTCTTGCACACGCCCTACCGGGGATGTGCCCGCAACCAAGGTACATGCCCTTGACTGGAATCGAACCCGGGACCTTTCAGTCCGCAGACTGACGCTCTACCACTGAGCCAAACCAGTTTCGGCCTGCTCTGCCATTTTTAAGGATATTGCTTCCATACTCATGTTCACCTGGAGGTCACAAGATAGCTGCCCCACCTCCAGCTTCGCACATTTTAGGAAGAAAGAAAAGAAAGGTAAAGAGGAGTTTCAAGTGCTGCATCTAGCAACATTTACATTAGACTGGATCTCACGTCCAACTTTAATTGCAAAGAGGCTGGGGACTATGGTTTTGTTCAGCTGGCACATTGCTTCCTTGAACAAATTGCAGTTCTGTGAGTCACCAAAGAGGAGAAAGAAGGAGTAAACTACCAATATTGTCTCAATGGATAGCCACCATTTTCTGCGTACAAGGCACAGCCACATTCATCTGTATAAAGAAGCTCCTTAGAGCAGTCATGTAGTTTTATTTTTGAGCCAGAGAACCTTAAATTCTGGAAGTGTTGCATTTATTAAAAGAGCACTGTAAATTACCCTTTATATAGAAGGTTCCATTTCTTCTTCTTTTTTTTTTTAAAAAAGGGAAACTTATCCCTATTTGATTAAAAATATATTTTATTGACTTTACAGAGCGGAAGAGAGAGAGATAGTTAGAAACACTGATCAGCTGCCTCCTGCACATGCCCTACTGGGGATGTGCCTGTAACCAAGGTACATGCCCTTGACCGGAGTAGAACATGGGACCCTTCAGACCGCAGGCTGACACTCTATTCACTGAACCAAACCGGCTAGGGCCATTTCTTCTTACTATACTAAGCAAATGAGTGTCAAAGAACTTGGGAGAATATGTAGAGAGGGGCAAAGAATTGAAAACGGGGTGTGTGTGTGTGTGTGTGTGTGTGTGTGTGTGTGTGTGGGTGTGTGTGTGTAGTGGGTGGGGAGAGTGGAAATTGTACCAAACATAATACATCCTCTTCCTTCTGTGAGTGCGAAGGAGTGGGAAACAGTTACAGGGTAAGTTAAAAACCCCTGGGCAGCTTACCTTCTACATCTGGCTCTCAGCACAGCTGAAACATTCGAGTCCAGTGACCCACAGAAATGCAGAGGCATTACTTTGCGGGTAGAAACTGCCCTCCAGTAAGCTCCACATGTCCCCCTCCCCCCAATACTCGTCAAAAGTGAGATGTGCTTCAAGTTTAGACTTGTGAGAACTCTCTATCTGTATCTCCTTTCCATTAGTTTGGTGTTTATTAAGAAGCGGCTCTTGCCAAAACCGGTTTGGCTCAGCGGATAGAGCGTCGGCCTGCGGACTGAAGGGTCCCAGGTTCGATTCCGGTCAAGGGCATGTACCTTGGTTGTGGGCACATCCCCTGTAGGGGGTGTGCAGGAGGCGGCTGATCGATGACTCTCTCTCATCGATGTTTCTAACTCTTTATCTCCCTTCCTCTCTCTGTAAAAAATCAATAAAATAGCTGAAACTGGTTTGGCTCAGTGGTAGAGCGTCGGTCTGCGGACTGAAAGGTCCCGGGTTCGATTCCGGCCAAGGGCATGTACTTTGGTTGCGGGCACATCCCCGGTAGGGGGTGTGCAAGAGGCAGCTGGTCGATGTTCCTCTCTCATCGACGTTTCTAGCTCTCTATCTCTCTCCCTTCCTCTCTGTAAAAAATCAATAAAAAATATATTAAAAATAAATAAATAAATAAATAAATAAATAAATAAATAAAGGTGTATTAATCCTATAAAAAAATAAATAAAATATATTAAAAAAAAAAAAAAAAAGAAGCGGCTCTTCTTCAGTATTCGGAATCTCTCCTGTCCTTTTACTTTGGTTTCTGCTTGCTAATGCAGAACAGGAATGTGTCCTAAATTCCTGTACCAGATGGAAGAGCTGTTAACATCCCTGCTGCAAACCATGGAACAGGGCTTCTCTTTTGGTACCAAAATGATTATCATCATGTAAAGACCCAGGATGCACGGCTTGTTTGTCCTGTTGCTTAGTAAGGCAAACCTGTTTTCTATTGCTTTCTATAGGGGACTCACCCAGCGTTATTATTGTGAAACTATTTGTATTCTGAGTCTAGATTTAAACAAGCTCAACAATTTAATTCATATGCAGCTACTTAGGACTAACGTTCTTGATTATTAGTAAACTTGATTGTGGAAAAACCTCTCTAAATATATGTATATTGATTTCAGAGAGGAAGGGAAAGGGAGAGAGAGAGAGAGAGAGAAAGAGAGAGAGAGAGAGAGAGAGAGAAAGAGAGAATTTTTAATGATGAGAGATAATTATTGATTGGCTGTCTCCAACAGGCCCCACACTGGAGATTGAGCCCGCAACTTGTGCATGTACCCTGATTAGGAATCAAACCATGACCTCCTGGTTCATAAGTCAATGCTCAATCATTGGACCACACCGGCTGGGCTGGAAAAATCTCTCTTGATTAGAATTATTAGAGGGCACAGAGGGGATAAATAGTAATGGGGGAGAGGAGGAAAAATAATATTTCATTATAAAAAAGAATAATGGAGATCTTTAGTTTTCCAGTCAATTTGAGGATAGGAAAAATAGTTTTGTGGAGGACACTAGTGTGTGTGTGTTTTGCATAAGAGTTGCCCACTTAACTGACTTTTTTTTTTTTTTTGCTTTCAGTAGCTAGATCAAGAATTAAATAAAGACCTTTTTATGTTTTTCCATGCAAATGGTTGTTTATTTAAGTCTCTGTTATAGTAGGTTGTTCAAATTAAGATATTTGCCCTGCCTTGGAGAACTGAGAATCAGACTATTCTTTTAATATGGAAAGCAGTAAGACTGTGGAATAAAGTGTTTAAAATGAATTACTTTTGGTAATTGAAAAATTGTAATTTATTATGAACTAAGCACTTTATACATGTTTCATCTGTTACAATTCAGAGCAGTCTTATAAGCAGACTCTATCATTAATTTCAGTAGGTTGATGATGAAAATGAGGTAAAGTTTAAGAAACCCTGCATGGTAACCAATAGGGTTGGCGTTTGATATTCACTCCTCGCTGCTGTACGTGTGGTCCCCGGACCAGCAGCAGTGGCATCACCTGGGAGCTTGTTAAATCTGAACATCTTGGGCTCCTTGCAGACCCACTGAGTGAGAATCTGCGATTGATCAAGATTTATAGGTTATTTCTCTGTTCGTTGAAATTTGAGAAGTCTTCTTTTTTACTGCTTATAATATTCATAATGTAACTCCCTTTTAATTTATTATATTCCATATAAATATTGTCACATTGTCCATCTGAAACATTGGTAAATTTGCTTGTGGTTGGTAACGACTGCTTTGTAAAACTGAGCATGAGGGCAGAAACTAGTCTCTGCTCTTCATTGCCCCGGTAGGTGTTACTTAGAAAACTATTTGTAAGACACCCTGTTCCCAACCTAAATTTTCTTTTTCTTACAATTGCTCAAATCACATGGATTTAGAAGGACTATGTGTCCTTTTGTGTTATAAGAGAGGAAGATGAAAAATAGCTCTTCCTTCAAATGGCCTATGTCAGTGGTCAGCAAACTCAGTCAAAGGCCAAATATCAACAGTACAACGATTGACATTTCTTTTCAGAGCCAAGTTTTTTTAAATTTAAACTTCTTCAAAATAGACTCGCCCAGGCCGTGGTGTTTTGTGGAAGAGCCACACTCAAGGGGCCAAAGAGCCGCATGTGGCTTGCGAGCCGCAGTTTGCCGACCACGAGTCTATGTAAATCTTCCATTTGTTGCCCACCTGTGAAGGGCCATGCTTGTATTTGCTATCTCAGGAAATCTCACAGGTAGCAACAGAGGTTTGTGTCACCATTTATTGACATGGAAATTTTCAGCTTTAGGTTTGATATGAAAGCATTATTGGTATAGCTAGCCAAGTTTGTGCTTTTTAAAATCTGAGAATTATGTTCGTATAGCATCAATTCCACTGTTACCCTGGGACATAGAGCTTATACTTTTGGAAAGTAGTAAAATGCTTTTGAGACCTGACTCTGCAGTCTCACTCAGTTGTCAGAGTTAGCAAGGACAACCCTGGTAACATTTGCATGCGACCACTTTTCTGTTTTAAATTTCACAGCGCTGGGATATGAAGCTCCGTCACCTTGGACTGAATAGGAGTGATTCCAGCCACAGTGATTCCATGCAGAGTCAGAAGTCTGGCAGGAATGCTAACCCCCGGCAGGCACGCAACTAAATCCTGAAACGCGGAAAGAACGTTTGTGGACTTCCTATTGAGCCTTGCATTGCTGGACTAGCAAAGGGAAAATTGCACTATTGCACGTCATATTCTATTTTTTTTTTCTTTGCCACAAAACTCATGTGGTAACTGATATTACTTCTATTTTCTCTTTTGTTTTCTGCTTTCCTCTTTCCTCCTCCCCACCGCCGTTCTTTGTGGTCTGAGAGCAGATCCTTAAATATATATTATGTATTCTATTTCACTAGTCATGGGAAAACTGTTCTTTGCAATAATAATAAATTAAACATGTTGATACCAGGGCCTCTCTGCTGGAGTAAATGTTAATTTACTGCTCTGCGCCGAGACTGGGAATGCAGTATTGGATACAAAGAGAGGAAGCTAAGTAAGCTGTACCATATACTCGGTTGATCTAATTACAGCCTCATTTTTGCATGCCTTTTGGGCATTCTCACCCCGAGACAGTCTTACATGTTTACAAAGGTAAAATAGCAGTCTGAAATAAAATGCTGCATAGGCCAAGCAATCAAGCTGCAGGAAGCATTTATGAGGAAAAGACACACAAGACGAATTATTTGAAAGATTGGCAGGAAGCAAAATAAATAGTTAGAGAAGCTGGGGAAAGAACATTTTGCCTGATTGAGAAGCACAACTGAAACCAGTAGCTGATGGGGTGTTAACAGTAGCATTTATCTCTTGGCAATTCATTTGATTTGTTTATGAATACAAATATTCGTCAGCATTAGGGAAGTGAATTACAACTAGACATCTCCTGTTATCAGCAAACTCTGCTTAGTTTTAAACAAACCCATTGGTGTGTCTTTTTTTTCTTCTTCTTTTAAAAATGACTTGCTGTATTGACCGAGAAAAGAACGTATGTATGTCTGTGCATCAGGGTGTTATTTTTAAAAGGTACGTAGCTCTCTAAAATGCTGTAGTTTGCAGGATGGTAGATTGTGCAGGGTTTGTGTGTGTCTGCGCACTCACGCTCAGTGGGACTGAATCACGGGCCTATGCACCGGCCTGTACTTTATCATTTGGATGTATGCTGCTTAATGCCAGTAAAATAGGTCTAATAAAAGGAATTATGGGGGGGAAAAGTTGAAACAATTGGAAGAGGGTACTATAGGCAAATCTCTTTTGTAACCTAAAGGAAATTTAGGATCGCCCAGCCAAGTAAAAAATGTCAGAGTTCACCAAGAAGTTGTAGAACACTTCAGAAAATAAGAATAAAAGGTAATTGGGGGAGGGGGGGGAGAGGATTATGGTTTTCAGGAGAGAGGCTACTCTGACTTTTGAAACAAATACACTTTCTCATTTCCCAAACTGCAGTGCCATCCCCAGGACTGCGGGGAGGGAGGGGCAGTAGGGAGGGGAGGAAGGCCGGGAGAGCAAGTGATGCTTTTACTTCCTTCGGTGTGTTTCTTTAGAGCCTGTGCCAACCTTGGGAAAGTCTCATTCCTTTCCATTTTTAAAAAGTATATATTTTTATTGATTTTTTTACAGAGAGGAAGGGAGAGAGATAGAGCTAGAAACGTCGATGAGAGAGAAACACCGACCAGCTGCCTACCTCCATGCCCTTGACCAGAATCGAACTTGGGACCTTTCAGTCCACAGACCGACGCTCTACCACTGAGCCAAACCGGTTTCGGCTCATTCCTTTCCATTTTTTAAAAAATATTTTATTGATTTTATACAGAGAGAAAGGGAGAGAGATAGAGAGCTAGAAACATTGATGAGAGAGAGAGAGTCATCGATCAGCTGCCTCTTGCATACCCCATACTGGGGGTATGCCCGCAGCCAAGGTACATGCCCTTGACCGGAATTGAACCTGGGTCCCTTCAGTCCCCAAGCCGACGCTCTATCCATTGAGCCAAACCGGTCTCAGCTCATTCCTTTCCATTTTTATGTTTGATGTTTACGTAGAACCAAATATGTTTATGTAGAACCAAACATAAACCAAATTATGTTTATGTAGAACCAAATTTCTAAGCTGTGATATGCTGAAAATAAAACACTTCGGGGGCAAAATGGTGCTGTGTTTCCTTCTACAAGGACAGTCGTGCAAGATGAAATTTACTCCGGAAGTGGTACACAATAATCATCTGAGTTCTGTTTTAGCAGTCCTAGAACATCCCTGTCTCCTGACAGACCCCACACCCAGCACCTTCCTCCCGTAGAAGGAAGTCCCCCTTTGCTACGTGAGGACTGCGGTTCTGTGCGCTGCCTTGTGGTTGCTTTCAGGCAGTTCTGCCTCTGCCATTTGGGTTTGTTCTCAGATGCCTAAGGCAGGTCACCTCTTTCTGGATGCTGCTGTCGTGGCCTTGAAAAGGCGAGTGTGGGTGTCACAAAGCGGGAGGGAAGTGCCACGTGGAAGAACTAACTGCGTCTCAGGATCTCTCACCCAGAGAGTCATGCAAGTTGAGCCAAAAGGACCGAGGACTGGAAAGTGGTGCTTCTGCATGGCCCGCTTTACCCAGGCCCTTTTCATGCTAGCTAAGGAATAAGGGCAAAAATTGACAGCAGGAGACTGAAAGGAATGTGGATTTTTCAAATCCACAAAATGCCATCAACTCTTCCAAAGCATATTAAGGTGAATTTTATGTGATTACATATATGATATACAATGAGAGTCAGTTTCTAGTCTCTGAATTTTTTTTTTTTTTGTGTGTGTGTGTGTGTGTGTGTGTGTGTAGGAAAGTGGGTCAGGAGGATGTGATAACTTTGTGTAGAGTTGTGTAGAAATAATTTATACTCAATACATATATAATTCCGATATTTATAAGCAAAAGAGGCCCAGATTCTTAGATTCAGCAGTGGGTTTTTTTTGTTTGTTCTTTGCCTCCTTCCATTTCAATGATCTCTATAGGCAAGGCTTGATTTTGCTCATCTACATAAAGCCCTGTCAACTATTTTAAAGTCGAGTAAAGTACATTTGATTTTACAGTTTGATAGTTGCAATATCTTCATTAATAAATTATGTGCAGGCCTGTTTTGGGAGATGACATGATTTTTATCATGACGGTCACATTTATAATCTAGCAGAACCTTTCTACTCTGTAATTGTCATAATATAAAATAAATACATCTCATTCCTCCTCTCTTCAGGCTTTTCTGGCAGGGACCAACTTTCAAAGCCGCTAGAATTTTAATATATATGCATCCTTAACAGTAACCTTGAGATCTATAAAATTAATTTAAATGTTCTTTGGAAAATTATGTTCACCTTTAGGATTTGACTCTTCCTAGCCAAATAACAACAAAATGTTAGATACACGCTGAATAAACTAATAAAAATCACAGCAAAGTTGGATACTCTGCATGGACACATAAGAACTTTTCTATGTCCCATAAAGGGTGTAATCTGACTCGGTGCCATATGTTGCACCAGCATTTAGAGTTGGGGTGGGACAAAGCCATGGCTTTGCACATCTGTTATACATTAAGAAGGCAAATACAAAAATTACAATCACTGCGAGTAAATAGTGCTACCTATTGCCTTCTGCAAGAAATTATTTGCTATTATTTTTCAGCAAGGAAACTGACTGAAAAAAGTAAGTATTTCAAGATTGGTGTTTATTTAGATGGTGAATTTTAATATTTAAATAATATAGGCATACAAGAACATAGTTAAAATGAGATAAAGCAACCGAAACCGGTTTGGCTCAGTGGTAGAGCGTCGGTCTGCAGACTGAAGGGTCCCAGGTTCGATTCCGGGCAAGGGCCTGTACCTAGGTTGCGGGCACATCCCCAGTAGGGGGTGTGCAAGAGGCAGCTGGTTGATGTTTCTCTCTCATCGACGTTTCTAGCTCTCTATCTCTCTCCCTTCCTCTCTGTAAAAAAATCAATAAAATATATTTTTAAAAATGAGGTAAAGCAGATATTTCTAATACTGTTACTTTTCATATGCATATGATAGAATTTTTAAATATTGCTCTTGTAGTAACAAAAAACAGTATAGTCATTCCTTTGATAATTATATCTTTGGGGGTAATAGTGTTCAAGAGTAAGTAGAACTCTATAGAAAATGCTCACATGTGTATTAACTCATAACCATTGAAAGTGTGGAATAGATTTTGTTATTTTTATTTTCTAGATAATGAAATCAAAGATTTAGATCTTCAAAGTTGCCTGGCTGATGTGGCTAAGTGGTCGGGTGTCGACCTATGAACCAGGAGTTCATGGTTCAATTCCCAATCAGGGCAGATGCCCAGGTTGTGGGCTCAATCCCTAGTATAGGCGTGCAGCAGGCAGCTGATCAACGATTCCCATTATTGATGTTTCTATGTCTCTTTCCCTTTCCCTTCCTCTCTGAAATCAATAAGATATTTTAAAAATAAGAACTTCAGAGTTATGTTAAATAGCAGACCATCTTATTCTTTTTTTGTTTGTTTGTTATCCTTACCAGAGGATATTTTCCCATTGATTTTTAGAGAGTGGAGGGAGGGGGAGACATACACACAGAGAGGAAAATCGATGTGAAGAGACACATTGATTGGTTGCCTCCCACACAAGCCCTGACCAGAGCCGTGGATCCTTGGCCATAATCACACCGGGGACCCTTCAGTCCGCAGGATTATACTCTATCCACTGAACAAAACCGGCTAGGCCAGATCCTCTTGTTCTTACTTCCCAAGTTGTGTTTGCCGCCACTGCAATTGCTGATAATAAGATAAATGCATCCTGACATTGTAAAAAAGCCTACTGTCAAGCATGCCGCTTGTTTTTCCTTAAGTTGAGGTCCACAGCCCGTGTCAGAAAGCCTACACCCAACTCTGACCCCAGACACTGTCACTTCTACTCTCCAGTGTCCTCACCTCTGAAATCAAAATTCCAGGAATCTCATACAGGATGAGACGAATGAACGACTAAAGTGATGCTTCTGGCATTAATAGGTTCAAGATATGTGATTCTCAGTAGAAAAGAAAATGGTATTTCCTCTCTAAGTTCGTTTTTCCTTGAATTTAGAGAAAAGTATGGAGTTAATAGTATTCATA